TAAATTTTTTAAGAAGGGCTGTAAAATATATATTTTTGATTTATTTTTTAATTTCTCTGAAACTATTAAAATATGTTTATTCATATCTTAAGATTATGTAAAGTGATCCGAAAGGAAGCCAAAAATGCAATAATATACAGGGTGTTCCATTTTAAAAAAATCATCAAGGTCCACTCGCACTTTTTTGAGCCACCCTATAGAAGTTAAAATATTTTCCTTAAATACATCCTGATACATAGTTTAGGTTTACACTTAAACAAAATTCTCAAGTTTTTTATTCTAGGAGCTACAGATGCCCGACGCACTACTGCCGGACCCTGTATACTTGCCACTTAACTGCTGATATAGAAATTTAATTCAACGCTGTGTTCGTCATAATGTGGATCAACCTGCTCTCACTACAACCTGGAGCCCTACTCCATCATCAGGTGAGCTTGGGCAGATCCACAAAATGACAGCCACAGCGCAGAGATAGTTAATTCCGACTTGTCGGAAAGTATCGGTTAGATATTAAGTCCCGAACGGGAGATAGCGGTCTGCGTGCAATGGTAGTACTTTCGTACCACCGAGGAGCAACTATCGGTAGTAAAAGGATGGTAAAAGGCTTTTTTTTTCCAGCCAAGCCAAATTATAAAATAGAAAACAAATTTCTTGCAGTATAGGTATATAATAAAATTATATAAGGATTCTTGCCACTTAACTGCTGATACAGAAATTTGCAAAAAACTACGCTGTGTTTGTCATAATGTGGATCAACCTGCTCTCACTACCGGTTTCGGAGCCCTACTCCATCATCAGGTGAGCTTGGGCAGATCCACAAAACAACATTATGACAAACACAGCGTAGAATTAAATTTCTATAGCAGCAGTTAAGTGGCAAGAATCCTTATATAATTTTATTATATACCTATACTGCAAGAAATTTGTTTTCTATTTTTTAATTTTATTATAATATTAAAAGCTTTATTTTATATTGTTTTTAGTAAATAGTTTATTATTTTTCAGGTGAATTCTTTTCGTTTCTGGACTTAACGACATTAGACTGTAGGACTGTTGAATTTATTACTATCTTAGGACTACTACTCTGTGTTCAATCTGGAGACTAATAGACCAGCCGATATGATTCAAATACTCCAGAAAAACTGAAGATTTTGAGATGAGAAACTTGAAGGAGAAAGGGAAATATCCGATTCGTCAGGCTGGTGGGTTTTAGGTTCATCAGTCCCCGGAAGAATCTGAAGGACTAGCCGACAGCTCATGGATGTGGGTTCCAGAAATCATTGAGAATTACGGAGCAGCGGACTTGCTCTTTCAATCGGATCGGCTATACCAAATAAAATAATTTAGTCTCAAGAAATCTGTAAAGAAAAGGATATCGTAGAATAAAAAATAAAATTTAATATTTAGCTATTTATTCTAGGACCTCTTAAAGTCCCATATTCACTATTCGCTGATGCGGTTTGTTAGTTCATTTGGAAATTCGTCCATTGTGTTCATGATATTTCTTTTGTTGGTTCGCTAAAAAACCGACATTCCGCCTAAATAACGCACCCGGTTATATACCGGGTGCGTCTCAAAAGTAGCTCACCCCTATAACTTTTTTATTTTTTCAGATAAAAAATCGAGATTTGGTATATTAGTATATGACATAAATTAGAATTGATTGACGTTTTCCATTGTTTTTGGTCAGTTGCTGTTTTACCGAAAATGACTACAAGTTTTGGTTTTTAAATGGCACCCTCGGTATATTTATACTTTATTCGATAAAAAATGACACTCTGAATAGAATGACATATCATATGTCAACTTTTGACATTTTCGCTTGAAAAAAATTCGTCTTTTAAATTTCAATCTAGAGTACCTAGTTACAAACACTAATTTTTTATCAATGAGCCTTGGAAAAATAGATTTGTTCTTCTAATGTTTTTCGTGTCTTTTCCTGACCGGTTGAAAGTTGCCCAAATCGTATTTTTAATTATATCTCAGTTATTTTCAAATGGAACGAGGGTGGCTCATTAGCATATTTGGAAAAAGCATTTTTTACGAATAATTTGCTACCACACACTTGGTATTTGAGTTAACTTTTCGTTTTGAAGCGCATGTTATAATTTCAAATAAACAATATGCGTAAATGTCAAAAGTTGACATATGATATGTCATTCTATTCAGAGTGTTATTTTCTATCGAATAAAGAAAGCAAAAAAATACCGAGGGTGCCGTTTAAAAATCAAAAGTTGTAGTCATTTCCGGTGAAACAGGAAGTGACCGAAAACAATTGAATACGTCAATCAATCCTAATTTATGTCATATACTAATATACGAAATCTCGTATTTTTAGCTGAAAAAGTTATAGGGGTGAGCCACTTTTGAGACGCACCCGGTATACAACTAGGAGTCATATTGACATCGAAATAAAATTTTAAAAAGAAGTATTTTAGGACATAAGTTTATACGAACTTTTTCATTTATTTTTATATGTAAAATATGCTGCCGAAGTTTCCGGAATACAGTTCGGACCACCCTGTAGTGATGGGTTGTTATTTAACTATCTGTTATTTTATAACAATTATTTATAAATAACATAACGCAACCGTTACTACTTTTAAAAAATAACAGATATAAAATAACGACACGTAGAGATCGGCCGCTCGTGAAAGGAAAAACGAAGTCGGCGCTCTGCATCACCACGAAATTCTATGCTGCTCAAGCAATTCCAAAAAACAACTAGTATGGATTGAAAACATGTTATTTCGTCAACCATCGATACAGGCGGCGAGACAACGGACAACGGAGTGGGGAAAGCGCTACGGCGAACGTAGCTGCTTCGGTCGATACCGTCAATGGTCGTATTTACAACAGCTTAAAAATAATAGGATATAAAAGAAGCAGGTTTTTTGAAACAGTTGAGGGCATAACGCCTGGCGGTGGAGATAACAGGAGTGGGAAAGGAACGCTGCTGCATCGGTCGATTGTCGATGGAGGCTCGCAACGGGTTGGAGAAGCAGTCATTTTAGATATGTTGTTTTTCAACCTGTTACAAGTATAACAGGGCGGCGGACGAGATAATAGGTGTGGGAAAGGAACGCTGCTGCATCGGTCGATTGTCGATGGAGGTTCGAAACAGGTTGGGGAATAACGCATCAGTTGTTTTAGATACATTCTGTTTCAACCTGTTACGAGCATAACGGACGGAGGTCGAGATATTATGGCGCTGTATGTTTCAGTACTTACTTATTAAGTTTCAATATTTAGGTATATATTTATTCTGAAAAAATTTTCAGAATAATATTTTAAGATTTTTTAAAAATGTATACAGGGTGTTTCTGAAAAAATCTGGTCATTGATTAATCACGATCCTGCTTAAAGCCCTTGACGTAAAAAAGCTGATTTTTGGAAAACGGATTGACTTTAGTGTGTAGAGGTTCGATAAGAAGGATTTTTCGAAACTCGAATTCTAAGGGGGTGAAACTACTCTGAAATATTAGAATATTTTTTATTTAAAAACCGGTGAGTTTTTCGGAAAAACTCTTAAAATACGTATATTTTAATATGTTGTTTTACATATTTTAAGATTTTTTAAAAATATATACAGGGTGTTTCATAAAATATGACCATTGAGTAATCACTATTCTGCTTAAACTGCTGGACGTTTAAAGCTGATTTTTTTGCAAACGGATTGACTGTGGGGTTGAGGTTCGATAAGGAGGGGTTTCTCGAATCTCAAATTCCAACAGGGTGAAAACGCCCCTCAAATATTACAATATTTGTTATTTAAAAAACGGTTAGTCTTTCGGGAAAAACGCCTGGACACGCATAATTTATTTCGTTTTTTTTACATATTTTGAAATTTTTTAAAAAATCATACAGGGTGTTCCAAAAAGTTGAGTAATTGATTAACCACGATTCTGCTTAAACTGCTCGACGTTAGAAAGCTTATTTTTGGCAAATGTGAGAACATTTTATCCAGTTTGTATGTTAATGGAAATTCTTGTTTTGCTTTATCATCACCATTAGAAATTACTAATTCGACGCGAACGAAGTCGCGGGTACACGCTAGTTTAAATGTAAAATTAATTCGAACTCTAGTGTGTAGTTGGTTTACTTATGAAGAATATACTACACATTTTCTTATATTGCTATTTTTTGACCGCAAATGGTAAAATCATAACTAAGAGCTTCTCGCCCGTCGAGTGAGATGCACCCTGTACACTGCTACGCAATTCAGGATCTACGCGGATCGAGGGGCAGGGCGTAGGTATATACTATAGACGAGTGGCCGAATTTTGGCTTTTTTTATATCGCAATTTGTAAACAGCGCTTATTTGTAAATAACCACCGTTTTTAGAGAGGTATTTTAGATAACAATCGATATTTAGAAATGTTTTGACACCCTGGAAATACTACCACCGAGCACGTCATTGTTGCAACTTGCAACTGCGTTAATACGCCTTGCGATGACCGTCTCATACTCTTTCAGATATTTAGCAGTAAAATTAAGAAACCTGTTATTTTTAAACTGTTATTTTAAGCTGTTTTTTATAAATAACTATAACAGTTTCAACTGTTATCTAAAAATAACAGTTTGCCCATCACTACCACCCTGTATATCATTGCTTCTAACAATCTAATTTTATTTAATGTATGGCTTTCTTACTTTTTTATAAGGCACTTGGTTAAATAAAGCAACGCAATTTTTAATCAAATCAGCAAGAGCATCACAGGAAATCGCTTCATTACCATCGGTAAACAACTTTCATCCACCCGAATTCACCCCCGTTTGTTGCCAATAACTCGAGGCTTATCGGCCACGAGTACGTGGTGAAATATTCCCGCCCCTAATGAAAGATAATCGGTAAGTGGAATTCCTCCTCTCCCCGTTATCTTTTTCTTCTCTTCCCTCTTTGTGCCTGCCATTCCACCGCATTAATAAAGGCTTCCCCGTCGGTCGGCGTCCAGGATCGGACATGCGCGTGGCGGCGCGCACGAGGCACCCGGATAGAAATTGGGCCAGTTTTCCATGTCGAACGGGATCGCTTCCAGGCACCGTCGACGTTGTATCCAGCGCTCGAGAGAGGGGAAGATTTTTTCGGTTGGGTATTTTTTGGCTCGAAATTTGTTCTTCTTTCACAGGTAAGTTATTAATTATTTTTGTATATTAGTCTCAGTCAGATTAGTTATTAGTGAATTTAAGTTAAACAGATATTTGAAGTCTTATAACATTGTTTTTGTTTTTTAATCTTTGTTGTTAAATAAATATCTCGCTGAAACATGATTGGAGAAAAAACTGTTATTTAGTATCATTGATTAACTACTATTATTACTACAGTGTGTCCCATTTTCGTGTGTTTTACAGTGTTTCTTTTTATTAGTAGAGATACAAAAATGCGGTTTTCACATTATTACTATGCTACTTGTTTACGAAACTAAATATGCTTCACACAGATTTGCACTAGCCTTCTTTGTTCCTGAAATACAGGGCAAATTTTAAAATGTAGCATTTTCGACCCTCTTCGTAACTTGATTACTATACAGGGTGCATCTCGAAAGTGGCTCACCCCTATAACTTTTTTTCAGATAAAAACGAGATCTGGTATGTTACCTATTATATGACATAAATTAGGATTGATTGACGTATTCCATTGTTTTTGGTCACTTCCTTTTTCACCGGAAATGACCGGTTTCACTCGAAAACTTTTGAATTTTAAATGGCACCCTCGGTATATTTCTACTTTATTCGATAGAAAATCATACTCTGAATAGAATTACATATCATATGTCAACTTTTGACATTTCCGTTTAAAAAATAGATCGCATTTTAAATTTCAATTTAGAGTGCCATGGCTATGTTAAAAACACTAATTTTTAATCAAGGAGACTTGGAAAAATAGTTTTTTGTATTCCTTGTCCTGGTCGGTTAAAAGATGCTTAAACCGTAGTTTTAATCATATCTATTTTTTTTCAAATGGAACCAGAGATGGAGGGTGGCTTATTACCATATTTGGGGAAAACATTTTTTTTGCGAATAATTTGGTACCACACACTTCGTATTTCGTGTTATATTGTCCTTTCGAACCGCAAGTTACAATTTCAAATAAACCATATGCGAAAATCTCAAAAGTTGACATATCATATATAATATATATATGTTGTAAAAGTTAAAGTAAGTGTTAAGTAAATATAAAAGTTGATATATCATTCTATTCAGTGTGTCATTTTCTATCGAATAAAGTAAAAATATACCGAGGGTGCCATTTAAAAATCAAAAGTTGTAGTCATTTCCGGTGAAACAGAAAGTGACCAAAAACAACTGAGTACGTCAATAAATCCTAATTTATGTCATATACTAACATACCAAATCTCATTTTTTTATTTGAAAAATAAAGAGTTATAGGGGTGAGCCACTTTTGAGACGCACCCGGTATAACTAATCGCAAAGGTTAAACTGAGTTCCGTAAAGTTTTTCACGTAAAATCCATTGGCGTAACTAGTTTGTCGCTGGGAGATGTTATTTTCGAAATATGACTCAAGGATATGTTTTTTATAAATGGAATACCCTTGTATATTATATTTCTAAAAATATGATCTAAGTAGTAATCTTATTTTGATAAATAGGGTAAAAATGCATTATTTAACTTTTTAACATAGATCAACCTAGTTAAAAAGGTGTATTATTTAATTTAATTTAATTTGACCAGATAAATATTTAAAAAATGCATTATTTAAATTTTTAACTTAAATCAACCTATATAAGGTTTTTTTACTACAAACTTTTATGTAATCCAAAATTTTTTTCAACAGAAAAAATTGGATTAATATAAAAGGTAGATTTTTCCAAAAAAAATTTTCGAGAAAAAAATCTCATAGACGTGTTTCCGAGTTCGAAATATATATACTACCCCTAAAAATGTTTGCACTTATTTAAGACTCACCCTGTATACAGGGTGTCCGGAAATTTATGCAACAAAATTTGGTCATAGATTCTTGAAAAAAAATAGGTGACCCGTATTTTTTATTTTTGGCTAGTGGCCTCCCCTTTCTGAATTAACGGCCTCCTGAATTTGGCTCCTCCTGAAATTTTTATTTAAAAAAAAACAGTGGCGTACCTACCATTTCTTTCTTCAATAAAATTTAGTTTAAATACCGTAGGGACGCCACTGATGAAAATAAAAAAAGTTAATAGCATCAAAAAATGTCATTTTATGGTAAAACAACTTGTACCAAATTTAGTGATTTTCGTCCAACAGGGTCCTGAGATATTAAAAAAAACTCTTTTTAGGGGCGAAATTCAGGGGGCTGTAAATCCGAAAAGGGGGCCACTGGCCAAAAATAAAAAATACGGGTCACCTATTTTTTTTTTTCAAGAATCTATGACCAAATTTTGTTGCATTAATTTCCGGACACAAACCCTGTATATTAAATATATTTATCAGCATTTTAAATTAGTATTAGTTTTTTTTCTGAAATTAACACATCAAACAGTATTGCAGCTGATCGACTGTGATAGAATTTTTCTATAATTTTTATGTTCAAAACACTTAAAAATAAGGAAATTAATTTTTCTTATACCGATAAGAGTTGTTAAATATATCAGTTTTAAATCAGCTTATTTTTTTGTTAATGTTTTAGGCAATAAAATTTGAATCATTAATAAATGTGATTATTAGTTTTTTTAATTAATTTTAGTTTTGTTCCGAATCATACCTACATTAGACAGAGAGTTCTATCTACATCTTTGATAGACTAAAAAATAAGGAAATTTATTATTCTTTATTAATAAAATATAATATTATTTTTTCTATAGTAAAAGCATATTACTTAAGCTGTTTCTTTTTGGTTTTACTGCATTAAGGCTACTTAATGGTTTAGCCGTGGCTTTTGTTGTTTCTTTTGAAGCTGAACTATACACTTTTATTGCTAAAAGCTTTTTTTCAAGAAAGTATTATCCATTCTTCCTTTTAATTTTCTTATTTTTTTTTAGTTCAATCTCGTACATAACAATGTAGATATGTTGTATGGGTATTTATGTAGGAATAAAAAGTCAACAACATTGAAAAATGGTACTTTTTATGAAGTCCTGGCCAATGTGGTTTTAACTTTGAATTAAAAGATTAAGGAAGGAGTATAATGCTATCCCTGTATTTATGCATGGTAGACGGACAAAAGGCCCTAGGATATCCTTGACAGTTCTGTTAAACGATTCATTTGTCACATTAGAATTTGACTTGAAATTTTGTGGATTTGTCAGTCTTTCTGAGGTTATTTATTTACGTTAATTATTAGTTATAATTTATTATTTATTCTACTACTGATAGTTGTTTAAAGGTAGTAAATCTAGAAGGAAATTGTGGCAGAACTTAAATTAACAGTGACACTATTGCGATTTACTGCAAAAGACTGTAAAATAGTTGGTTGTGTAGCGTGCGGTAGATGTCGGTCAAAAATGGAGGGAAATAATGGAATAACTTTTCGCTAGTAAGTGACTATACATATAATATACATACGTGTAGTAAACCGATCATTTATGAAATTCACTTAAAATTAACTAATTATATATTTTTTCTTGCATTTTTGCTTTTATATAATACTTGTTAAAGATAAGAATTTAGGTACGTCAATTTGACTTACCTGCTTCAAAAGCGTATCGGATGTTATCTATTTTTATTAGAATTATATATTTCTATAACAATTTCAGTAACTGCCAACATTTATTCACAACGTAAAATAAAACAACAAATTATTGAATCTACCCCACGTCTACCATACATCATATTTTTACACGTTTTGAATAAAATTGGAACGGCACTGGTAACCGGAATTTAGGTCGGCCATTTTAGGAACCCGTCGCGTTCGATCTAAGATTTTTGACATGCTCCTTCCTTAATCTTTTTATTCAAAGGGTTTTAAAAGAAAAACATAAGCTGACATAAGTTTATGTCATAGGTTTATGTAACCTAAATGTCAAAAATTAAAAGTTTTAGAAAAAACCGGAGAACACGCTTTCATGAAAGTTTTGATTATCCACAACTTTATCGAAAAACTTGTTGTCTTAATAGTCTAAGAGCTAGCAACGTTTTCGAGAAAGTACCTATTTTAAGACGTCTGGCTGCCGATACCCGTTGCGTTTATTACTGCGCATTGGAAGAAGTTCCTATATTTTTTATTAATTTATTTCTATAAATCCTAGTATTGAATATAAATCGAACATGTCTCCATAGCCCAGTGCGCATCAGAATATAAACGAAAATAAAATAAAAAAGTCTTTGACCTGACCCGGATTCGAACTCGGTTCGATCATCGGTTCGTTCAATTCGATCATCGGTTCGTTCGCTACGGTTCGGAAACTCTACGCACTGCGCTATGGAGACATGTTCGAATTATATTCAATACTAGAATTTAAAGGACTAATAAAAATAGAGGATCTTTTTTCAATGCGCAGTAGGAAACGCAACGTTTACCGGTAGCCAGATGGGCCGCATGCTGTTCTAGAGAGCATAGTAAAAGATATATCAAAGAGCCAGACGTCTTAAAATACTTGTCTTTTCGTTATTATAAAGCTGTTAATGAATATTTTTAAAATAGCCGAAATTTGATATTTTTTAAATGTCTAGTAAGCCATAAACTTATTCAAAAAAGGGGGATCTGCTACGGCACTGTTTGTATGGTAATAATTTGGTATCGGGTGTTATTAGCCCTTGTATTCTTTAGTCATTGATTGGAAACAAACTAGGCACGTGGATAGAGGTACCCGAATGAAGTCCTCAGACGGACAGACAGACAGACGGAAGTAAGAAGTTTCACTTCAAATATGCACACATAGTGTACACACGATTTTTTTAACGACTTATAATATATAAGTCAGCAAAAATGAACCTAAAACAAAGATATACGTACTTTACAATACAATTCTGAAATGTCTATTATTAAACCAATATTTTTACTACGTTTAAAATTACACAAAGTTCAGAAAAATACACAAATTGTCGAAGCTATATAAACATCAATATTAATAACCCTGAAGTTTTCAATGCGAAGTAAACTTGCAACTCGAAAACAGCATTTTGTTTTATTTGAACATAGAATTGAAACCGCACTTTAGAGTTCTTTATGGACCGAATTTTTTCCTGTTATAA